TCTGGGGCCTTGAAGCAGATAGATTAACCATTACATCTATAATTAAAGATATTTACGATGAAACATTAAAAAAACTTTTCGATGCTTATGAATTATTAGAATGTGGACCAATTAAAGCAAATTTTCAAAGTGGTCTCGTATGTACATATATCAGTCGAATAACTAATACATTAAGAGTTGATATTCAAAATGCTCCTTGTCAGACAACGAATGATTTAAAAGCGTGGGTTAAAAAGATTATTGATATCGAATGGGACGAAATTGAAAAGCATTTTTTTTATACTCCAAAACTCGAAACCCAAAAGAACACTAATAATAATCAAAATAAACATGTCTGTCTTATTTTCAAAAATGAAAATACATTTCGACGAGCAATAGACAAAATTCCTTTTTATTATATGATTGAACAAGGAAATGATTTTGGAAGATATCGTGATAGCGAAAAAGAAAGTTGGGGTCGAGAACTTGTAATTCAAACTCCAGCAAATGTCACTGTCGAAGATATTATCAATAGATACGGTGCTGACATTGTAATGAAATGTATACAATTAAATGAAAAATCTCGTGTAGAATCGTTTATCAAATTAAATAACCTGCCAAACAATACTAATGAAGCTTATCTTCGTCAATGTCTTCAAGTTCATAATGGTCCTACGCCAAAATATGTGTATGTTGGACTTACAAAAAATAATGCAAGTGGATGGGCAAAAATAACATTTCATAATGATGAACAACGTAATCAAGCTGCAATTATCTATAATTCGCAGCTGTGTGACACTATATTTCCGATAACTATTACTGGAAAAAGAGGTCTAAAACAAAAATTTGTTCGAACTAGTGTAATGAAGAGTGATGATCCTAATACAAGACACAATCAATCGTCTGCTCTTCTTAAAAATATCTTTCGTATCACCATGATCAATCGTGAAGTTGCTCTACAGATATTCCCTTCCAGAACAAGTACGAATTTGCCATGGTCCACTCCTGTTTATTATTCTTCCAATACATCACAATGGATCGTCGATAGCTCAGCGACAATAACTATTTATCGAACAGATTTATATCCTAATTTTCAACAGACGATCGATGAAATTTGCAAGAAATTTCGTGTTGAACTAAAATGTAAAAATCTTCCAAGCTTTGGTAAACGTTGTACATTCAATCATGGAAATCCACAAAACACAAGTCTAGCCGCTTCAATGCTTGCGCAAACGTTTGCACCAATCAACATTAAATTGAATACAGAACGACAGAAACAATTATTTCGTGAATTGGAAGAAATTGGTGAAATACAAAAATGGGCTGCGGAGTTGTCCTTAGTAATCAATCCGAATAAATATCATACAAATATTGAAATTCGAGGTCCACAGACATCTCAAGGACAATTAATGCGACGAATTGCTGATTATTCTGACAATTTTGATTGTCGTTTTCGTGAACTTGAACTCAGTGCAACCGTAGCAACATTCTTTGGTCAACAAAAATCAGCATCAGCTAAATTACAAGAGATTGCTTCACGATGGTCGTCGAAATCTTGTTCGGTTTCATTTAATTCAAAAACAGCGACGATTAAAATCATTGGTAAACCAAATGTCTCATTGACAGATATGAACACTTGTGAAAATGAAGTTCTACAACTTTTGAATGAGATAACTGCTAACACCGATAATATAGAAAGTGATGAAGAAGAAGAAGACGATAGTGATATGATACGTTTTGGAACACGACGAATAGAACGTCGATGTGTTTTTTGTCAGCAAAAATCATCTATTTCTACTAGTTTTTTTCAAATCTGTGGACATGCCTATTGTCGATGTGCTGCTCAAACTCTTGCTACATCTCATACGTTTCCTTTACGATGTAAAGCTTGTCAATCAAATATTCATATTCGTGATATTCAAATTTTCTTTAGTAATCATGAACAATTACTGCAGCTTTTACTTAAAAGTTCCATTCAGCGTTATTTAACAACAAATCCTCAACAAGATGATCGTGTTTTTTGTCCTAATGATGAATGTAATGGACTAATTAGACTTCATAATGGTTATCAAACTTGTTTAACTTGTGGTCAAAATGTGTGTCCTAGATGTCAAGTGATTGATGATGAACTTCATGTTGGAATGACTTGTGCTGAAGTTGTGGAAGAAAAGAAACGTCATCCGTTCTTGTCTAAACTCTTCTCCGCTTCAAGAAAATTTTTGAAAGATAATTGGCCATTTGATCCAACAGTACAACCAATTGGTCGAATCGATGAAAATCCTTATCTTCGGAAAGAATATAAATCATTATCACGTTTTTATGAAGGTAACGAAATATTAGGTTATTCTTCTCCACCAGATTTAGCTAAAGGATTCTTTGCTTATCATGGATCACCGTTGGATGCAATTGATTCCATCTGTCAAACAGGCTTTGATCCTAAACGTCGTTCAGGCCAAGCCTATGGTCGCGGTGAATACTTTGGAGTCACAGCACTTATTTCACACGGTTATTGTCAGAAAGGAGGTAGTCAAGCAGGATTTAGTCAAATGATTATCGCATTTATTTTTCGTTGTACACAAGTTACAACAAAAGAAAACTTTTGTTATGTTGTTGATAATCCAGCAGATTGGACATATGCTTTTAATTTACCTGTGCTAATTGTCACCTATGGGCAAAATGCTGTTAAGCAACCGTACCCTTTTCCTGCCAAAATACCTTACTATGCTGATAAAGAAACTTTTTGGATTGCACCTTTCTGTTGGTATTGTCAAGATAATGGACAATTTGAACCGTATAATGATATTATGAATGAATTACTAGAAAAAATTCATGAACATTGGAAATTACATGATGGACCTTCTGAGATCGAAACTCCACTATTGACTCGTTATTTAGATGATATTTCTCAAACGTATAAAATTGATTTTCAAAAAAATACACAAACAAGTATGAAAACATCTTGTCAACGAGCGATTGATCGTCGGCTAGTAAGAGAATTATCAAATAATAGAAATTGGTTTTATTGCAACGAACATGACATTTGGGTACGTTATGAACAAATGGTGGAAAATAAGATTGAGCAAGCATTTCAATTATATCGATCTCGTCGAGGATCATCAACTTTTGACATTCAATTTTCTGGACGTCCTGAAACCTACCAAATAAACTTTTTAAAAGGAAAACAAACAAGTAAAACTACTTATGAGATAAAAAACATTAAACGTGAGTAACGTATGTATCTTTCGTCGAATACAATTACTTCTGAGAAAAACTTTCGCAATATATATGAAATTTTCTTCTTCTGACAAAAACAAACTCCTTCGTGAAGAAAGTCGTCATTAATGGACAAAAAAGCACATTACACGTAGGATAAAAGCACATGTGAGCAGTGAGAGATGTTGTGCAGTTGAATCAACATTAAGTCAGAAAGAATGAATGCATACCTGTCCTCTTTTCTGTAAAAAATATTAGCAACCAAACAACAAAAATTGACCATTCGCTTTCATTTCGATAGATATAAAGAGTGTTCTTGTGTTGTGGCACCTCTATTTTGTTATTGCCATTAAGGGGTGGGTTACATGTCCAACATGAGATAGAAAAAATGTCATTCATACGCGCTCATGTGAAACAAAAACAGAATTGGAATCGAACATCAGTTAGATGTGATCGGGATTTACATACAAACTGTCACTCGTATTCTGCTTTCATGCGATGAAGGTCGTTTTTTCCACGAAAGAATTTCTGTGATAAAAAGAAAGATACTTCTGTGCATTGCATTTGTTTATTTATTAACGTTACTCTATGGAACAACAGGTTTACTACACGGTATGTAATTGATGATTAGTATCCAGTAGTTCTAAAATTTCTAAATGTAATTAGCTACGACGAGCTGAAGGGACCATACGTCGTTCGACTGGTTTACAGAATACTAACATCCGGAGTTTTTGTTATGTAATATTAGGATGCGCTTGCTGATTATCATACGTATCACTGTATCCTACATTTGTCCTCAATATTATACATATCATTTTGTAGCCCCTGAAATTCTCTATCGAATGATATACAGTAGTTGAGGTTTGCTTTGGACAAAGAGAAGAAATGGGAAAAATACTCTAAATAAAGTTCATTTAAGGGGAGAAAAGTTTGAATGCGAAATTTTTTCCAGGGGGTGTGAAAATGCTTTTTTTGAGGTGCTAGTTTTAATCACGGAGAAAGACTACATGAGACTTGTGAATATGAGCTTGATCTGAGAGGGGGCCGATTTTGCCTCTTATTGACCTCCGTCCTTTGCCTTAAATCAAAACACGTGTTGCTGTTTGACAGAAAATAAAGATATTAAACATTCTTTTAGATACAACTCAATGGGCTATTTCCTTTTCTTCGCGACAGTTCTTTTTGTTTGGCTTTTGTCTGTTTTTGCCGCGAGAGATATAAACGTGTAATCAGCATATAATAAAAGAAAACATGACCGTTATACGGATAAAATATGAAAAGAGAACGGACTTATCATAGAATGGAGAACGGAAAATTAGTTTTGAAATTTTTTTATTTATCGGAGAACGGCATTGAAAAGAGAACGGTTTTTTATATATTTCTAAAAACACTAAAACGAGAACGGTTAAAATATTTATTTTTCAAAACATCGAAAACAGGACGGATTTACTAATAGCTTCTATAATCTTCTTGAGAGAAAAGTATGACTTGACCGCGCGACGGTTAACCTAACAAATATCCACTGGCCATGCAGTTAGTTAATTCATGCATAGTAATGTTCACAAAGAAGAAAGTCACACTACGTAAAATTTTTACTATACTATGTCACGTAAGAGTTGGATTTCTGAAACGCTATGCAAATCACCAACAGATCTCGATACTATTGTTGAACAATACGAATTAACGAAATTTCGAAGCCGTTCAAAACCGTTCTCTTTTCAACGAAAAAACCGTGCTCTTTTCGATTTTTTTTATTCCGTTCTCTTTTAATTACAAATTTTGACGTAATTATCAAACCGTTCTCCATTCTATGCAAATTCCGTTCTCTTTTCACTTCTTGTCCCCGTTATAGCTCGACAGTGACGTTCTCTTGTATCATCTCGGTCTTTTCGAGGTACTGGTGGACCGAGCAATATAGCGACGACCGGTTGCATACGTTTTACATTTATATGTGATACAACTTGTTTATGTCCAACTTGGAAATTTTCCCGTTCAGAAACTGGTCGACCACGTCGTCGATCTCTTGGTTCAGTGCTCTTCGCTTCTAATCGAGCCCTTAATTGCTTTTGATTATTTGCATCAATAGGTTTTTTACGATAAAAGCTGATTTAATCATACAGACACATATTATCGAGTGACGCTGATCGATGTTGATAATCTACTCGGGTGTTGACATAAACGTATTTAGTGTTGGTTTCTGCAGGTTGAAGTAAAAATTGTTCTTCTGTTTCCATGCAGTTTTCTTCACTTTCGATATCTGTAGTACCTAACGAACAAAAAGATATCTCGAAATTACGTCATTGGTTTACAGTAAAGCGAAGTCTGCTCTCATACAAGAAATGAGAACATAATATGTTTCAGAACCTCTCAAGCCTTTTCATACTTGTAGCCTTCCACGATGATTTTACATATATGTGACATGAAGACAGACGCGAGAAAATGTTTTCTCAGTTCTTATGTATGAAATTATTTAGTCCGATATAAAAAATATTAGCTGCTGCAGAAAGTGATAGATATTACTTGTTATTTGACGCTGTTGTTTGCGGCGAGCTTCTAATACCATTGCCTGCAAATAATTCTCAATACCAATGAGAACGAGATTAACAAACTCATGTGTTGTATAATGATCAGGCGATTAGGATATACATTATCATCATCACTGTAAGATACGTTTCTTTTAGTATTTTTATATTTACAAAATATTTTTCATCACCTACAATCTTCACTTTCATATATTGAATTCATACTGAACAATTGATTGTCTATTTCATAGATATCTGAATCGGGGGAAGTGGTGGCATAACATATTTCTCATCTTCGCTCTCATTTTCATCATTACAAAAGTTTCCCTTATCCATCTTGAATTCAAGACGTTCTGGATATGTACAAACTTCTTTTTTTCTTGTGAGGTCGATCCTCGTTCTAGGCATTTTTTCTTTCTATTGTGCACTATACAGATTGAACATCAATAGTTCCGCATGAATCGATACGTCATCTCTGATATACAGAAAAGGAAATCGAACCGAACTCGAACTAGAAAAGTGCGGTTCGATTCGGTCGCTGTTCAGTAATTGATTCTATTCAAAATGCAGCTGCTCAACAAGAATTATTCGAAGGATATAAAAAAGTTGCCGAACAATCGAGAGCTGCTTTATTTGATGTTTATCTGCAATCAGCTGAAGATCAACGGAAAGAATATAAGAACACATATGAAGCTAATATAAAGAAAATGTCCTCGTCCCAATATTCATTGAATGACAAAGAAAAAATAACTTCAATGATGATTCATCTTATCAATGAACGCTGTAATAAAATTGGTGAACGTATTAAATGTATCTATAAATTTAAAGCTCAATCATTTCTTTCAAAATCTTAATTTTAGTTCTATAAATAGAAGACTTTACATTATTTGTGTTTTTATTGGTTTAGTTATAGCTCTTCATGTCATTTTTTGTCTTTTCGTTTACTTTTTCAGATAAATTGACTACTTTTTATTATACATACAGATCATTTTGTCAATAATAAATGTCAATAATATGGACATACAAGATAATGTTCCAGTTTCAAATCAACAACCACAACGGAAAAAATGTCATGGTAATCGAAGAAATCAACGTTTTAGAAGAATTTGTCTCACTGAAAAAATGAACTCAACAAAAATAGAAAAGCTGATCTAGAAAAGAAATTGTATTCACAAGAAAAATCAAAAAAAGTAACTCTGTAAGACGTACGACAAATGCTAATATAGAATCAACAATATTAAAAAGTGAACCAACAACTCGAAAAAATAATCAATCACAACCAGTAATAACGACAACAACTACAACAACAAATCTTAATAAACGTAAACGAGATATATCATTACAAGAATTATCAAAAACAAATCTAACAATAGCAAAAACAACAAGTTCAATATCTATTGTACAACCATCATCAAAAAAAATGAAGCATATAACAAAAACAATGACTAATCCAATAATCAATGCGAATAGTAGTGATATGAGTAGAAATACAAATTATCGGTATGTGTTTTCGAAATTTTAACATCACACTTGTTGATCATATATATTTCATTTTATAGACGCCCTATGTATTTGACACGATTATTATCCATACTTTATCAAATATTAAATAAAACTTTAAATTATTCATTAAAGAAAAAAGATGAACAACGATTTATATATCTACGACTTGAACTATTAGATCAACAATACTGTCTAGAAAGAGATGAAGAATCATGGCAATCCTATTTAGATATTGGTTTACAACAACACATATGGCCAGTGAGTTTGTTTCTTCTTAATTCATTCTTATAATATAGTTTTTTTTCTTTTTTCAAAACAAAAAGGATCAACTATATACAATGGCAAAGACAAATGATTTCGATTTATGTAAAAAGTATTTGATGAATTATATACAAGTAACGCTCATCTTCGATTCACTAACCTTTGACTGAAAGATCCTGGTGCTAACGAACCCGACATGTACGGTGCGCGAAATTCGCATCTTATAGAAAATGAATTTTGTTGTCTTCGGTATGGTTGAATAAAACTACTCCAGTTATCTACTTAAAACTGATTTTGATACGTATAGAAGTCACTGCGAAAAACTTTTAATCGTTTGAAAATAGTCCTAAATGAGGAAAATATTCGTATTACTTCTTAGCCGGGAAAGCCAGCAGACGGCGAGATACGCGTCAACACCAAACATTCTGATCAACATCAACGAACAAGTCATTGCCAACCCTTTCGGCAGTTCTTCCTTCATTCCGAACTGCAAAAAGACTTACTCCGAAAAGAACTTCCAAACAATCAATAAACAAAACGCTAATTCGAAAACACACGATACAGTCCGCCCAAAAACAAAACTAATACCAAAAACAAACGAGGCAAAGCATGAGTGGCACAACATCACCAAAACCTCCGTACACTATACACGAATCTGCACCCCAGCAGCAGTATATAGCTACCGACACTTTACAAAGAACAATCACACAAAACCAGAAAGCACGCAAGTACGGAAACCACAACTACGAAAAACGACACAAACGCGTAATGTTAGGTGTCGCACTAAACCAACCGCTTGCACCACAACAGTACTACCAACGATACACACTGACAACGAAACCCGATACACAGCAACACACCCACCAACCCGTCCGTCAAACACACGCACAATCACCAAATTCAACAAAACTCAAACCCTGCTTGGACCAAATTACGAAAAAAACAGAAGTCCCCATGGGTAAAACATGGAAAATGCACAAAAAACCACTAAACCACCGCCCACATAACCCATATTCAACAGTCCGTGATTGCAGACCGCCACGAAGTTGGTGCCAGCAGATAAAATATGTAAAATTTAGTTTCGGACATTTTCGGTTCGAGAGCCAGATTTGTGAGATGCTTGCTTCACGGTGAAAAGT